AAGGACAGTAAGCGAAGCAGCCTCCGATTCCAAAGAGGACACCCTGTGTTGCTATGAGTTGAGGAACAGTTGTGCAAAAGGAACTCATGACCATGGCTAGGGATGTGACGAAGAGACCAGCGTAGGTGAACCAGCGAGCTTGGCGGGGGTAGAAGCGGCATATAATGACCACAAATGGTGCTCCGAGATACAACATGCCCTGGATAATGTCAGAGTTGGGAAGGGTAGCTTTGCAAGTATCTTACAGTTGTTGTGGTTCCAATAGCAGCGATACTGTTCGAGCCCGCGAAAGGCTCATGATGACTGTAGTACTCTTGAAAGACGCCGAATGAGAACCCGAAACCTGATTTCTTTGTTAAACCATGTTCGTGGACCCTAAAGATGAGGGAGATTACCAAAAGTCACTGCTTCAACGACCCAACAGGCTGCTAAGAATAGATATGCCTTTCTTCCACCATCAACAGGAGGCAGTGAGAACTCGGCATCTGTTGCTCGCGACTCGAAGCGTTGATCGAGGTTCTGTAATTGGACTGCATCATCTGACACATTTCCATTGGGAGTAACGAGCTCAAGCGAGGTCTGTGACATTGAACAGGATTCCTTAAGTTACTTGTGCAGGGAACTAAATGCAATGTCTGGAGAGAGTATTCGATATTTATACAACAACCAGCAGAGTGCGCCTTCTATCAAACGGTACACTGCGCCTTTCGAACCTTGATAGTGCTTATTGAATTATCTTGATTCGTTTTCTGGTTTTATTGTTCTTGTAGGGCGCAGGTTGTAGGCGACATCGGACGTAGGAAAAGATGGCTGACATCAAATGATACATCGGCTGCAATGTCCGGTCGTGGTTTATCAATCCGAGTCACATGGATAAGCAGAACACGACCATTCCAGAGTTTGAGCTAATGCAAAGGCCTCGGGCTACTAGTTATTTTATAGGAAGGCGCTGACGTAATATCCTTATAAAATAGTCAAATTCGATGGTCAAATAGTTTCTAATTTGATAACGGCTGCAAGATTCTATGGCCAACCCCCCCGAAGGCCTGTCCTAGGTTTGGGGTGGCTGAAGTTGATATTCTGAGAGTGCAATGCCATATTAAGATTATCGGGACCAGTATGATATTTTCTCTTGTGAAAATCGAATTGAAAATCTTGAAGCTTCTAGGATTCTATAAAATATGCCATATAGCCCAACACGTAGAACATCAAACCACAAACTCGTAAAATGCACTCATAATTCAGGACTCGGCTTTGCGACAAGGTTGAGGGGCTAAAAGAGGCTTCAGCCTCAAGCATACCCTTGCTGTTGCTGCGGGTGTTGCTGCTGCCCAACCAAAGCTGAACTACTCTCCATTCTGTAACCTTCATAGACCTTGCTTTGATTCTTCTGCTTCTTTCTGAGGCCCAAATAAGGGAAGAAGAAGCAGGGATGGAGGATAGTCACAGCGCCGATGGAAATCAACATCATGGTTGCGTCGAACACGATGAATAGTGTTTCGTTTCGGAGAACATCTACCCCAATATCTGGGACAGTTTCGGCGATACTAAGTACTAATTAGCTCGTGTCGGGGAAGGAGTGTCAACAGAATCTTACCGGTAGGCGCATCGGATGATGATACAGGTATAAGCAATACCCAGAGCATAGACAAACCACTTGACTCTTTTTGCCTCCTTCAGCGTAGCCTCCTCTCGAGCGACAGGAACTCTCCCACGAGTTGGCATGCCGGTTGTGTACATATCAGTCGCGTTTCCCATCAACGGGTCTCGATGTTTCATTGCCTGCTTTCTTCGTCGAGCGTAAAGAAGCATCAGACCACCGCAGCACAACATGTTGGCAACTTGAAAGGCGACACCTCCAATGACAAGCGCCTCTCCAAGTTTCTGTGTCGTCTCAGATCCCTTACCCATGCTTTGCATAGCTGTGAGGCCACCTCCGATAATTTGGATGAAAATCGAGATAAAGTCTGTACCGACAAAGACGAGAGGATACAGTCTGGGCTTGAGAAGAGACCATTTTGCTCCGTACCAAACAACCAGATGCTTGAACGTCACTGATATAGCAGCAGCAACTAGAGTAGGAGCCAATAGGAGTGTTAGGTACTGCACGATAAAGACATTCTGCTGCCATGGATTTCTTCCCAGTCCAAAGCGTCCAACATGGCCCGCGACTTCAAAGACTGTTCCGATGCCCAGCCATATCATGTACGACCATGTTTTAGCCCGGAACCCCTGAAATATTTGTGCGAGGAAGAGAAGTGCAAAAGCGATGGCAAAGAATCCGGAAGCTGGTTCGGAGAGGTAGTCCTGGTAGATGGTGTATTCAACGGGACAACGATCCGTGACTTTATCGCAGTCGTCGTAGTTTGGTGTCCATGTTTCGTTTTTATCACCCATTGTTGTGTAGTTTTAGATCAAGTATTTGTGAATAGTGAGAGATGAGTTGAAAGATATTAAGAGTCAGGAGGATGGGGGCTTATATATGAGTAAGACGACATCAAGACACTCACCAAGCACATATCTCCGTAATCAATAGGATTGTGTGACAACCAATTTGCAAGACACGGCCACTAAGGCATTCTCCTCCCAGCCATTCCGTCGTGGCTCGCAGATACAACCGAATTCGTTTAGATATGGGGGATTGACAGATAACTGGCCAACAAGCACCTATCAAATCGCATTCCACGTGTATGAGCCCCCATCTTGTCGTCAGCGTCGGGGAAATAATGCGCTGGGATTTGCATAAAGATAAGCATAAGCGCTTAGTGGGAGGATGTACTTGGAATTTCAGCCTTAAGCACAGCCTCTTACATCCATACAGAGCTGAGCTGTCGTAGATCCTTGCAGCGCCGTATGATCCCCTTTTGGGCAATAATACGAGCTTTGGGTGATATCTAAATTGCATTTAGTTTAAAATGCGATCGGTTTCAAAGGGACCTTAAAACATGGGCATTTTTAAATTCCGCACTTGAAGTCTGAACTGGCATGAATCACAGCCAAGATCAGAGACTTACCTGAATATTTTGTTATTTTCTTCTAAACTTCATTGAGCCAATCTATAGGACATGGTTTTTTATATGCCAAAACAAAGAAATGATTGTGGATCTATTCATGTAGCTACTACACAAAACTCAGTCCGTCAAACAAACTCTAGTTGCGAATATCTTCAATTACCTCACGATCAAATACCCAAAGATTCTTGGCACTCAACCCCTAAATAAGAACATTACGCGAGCAGTTGCTTGGACCTTTTATCCAAGACACGGCATGATTGAAGCCCAGGCACCGCCAATCTCCAGTGGCAGTGCAAAGGGAATTAGTGACGAGGGCCAAGGCCAAAAGATGGAGTTTCAACCCTTGGCCTAGCGTCATGTTGGATCAACATCCCCTGGCAAGCCAAGACCACAGCCATAAAGCATTAGATTACGCGGCGGCGCCCAAAAAACCACCTGATCCTTCTCATCTGCAGCTTACCTACACATCCATACCGGTTCAGCCATGTCGAGTCCAATATGTCCTATGCCACTCGGCGAAATCTTCAGGGATATGCTGGGGAGAGAGAAGGAGACGAATCCGGTTAAGAGACTTTATGATGATGCTTTTAAAGCGGATATCGGCAGGTGGATAGCTTCGTGTGCGGTCATTGGGCTTTCGGCCGGGATAATATCTAAACATCCAGGACATAATTTGTTTGCTGCATCAGCGTACAATCTTGCAGTCGTAGGTTCACTCACCTGTATACATACCTATATAAACTTGCTGACCAGACTCAGGGAGCTCTTCATTTCTTTGCTTTCAAAATACCAGTCAAGCCACAAGGCTGCAGCAACCCAAGACCGCCAATATGGTATATTTTGATTCTGGCCCTTTCAACTTTAATGTGGCTTGCCGCTCTCACCGTCATATTTGTTCTCCGAGAGGATATAGATGCGTACAATGAGTCAAATCTCGACAAGCGGAGGACGGGCTTTGTTGGTGATATATCTACTGGAACAGTAGCAATGCTTGACAACCTTAGCATTGCTTGTGGCTGTTTCGGCATTTGTGCATTGTAAGTGGCCCCCAGACTGGCCCTCAAGTTTGATTTAACATTTTATAGTCTGTTTTGTGTATATCAGTGGTTTATTGTTCATTATCTTTACTCGACAAGATTCAAGAAGACTGAAATGCGAGAGGGATATAGAAAAATCAACAAGATCGAACCTCCCAAGGATGGCCCATCAACAACTGTTGTTTAGAATTGATACCCGATACCAAAATATTTACTAGCCAGATTAAGTGTTTTAATATAGAATACTTGACTTCTGCTTGCGAATATCGATAGGAAGCTGCCACAAAGGCCGCGTCTGACTTGATTTCCAGTCACTCCGACTTTGTATCATTTGTGGTGATTCCAGAGACTACAGCCAAGGGTCTGAGGTTTGCTATCTTGTCTAAAAGTTTAAAGTTGAAGGCAATGCCACTCAGTGCTTTGTTGCTTACAATCATTATATTCTTGCCAAGATCGATTGGCAGAGCCACAAAGAACTAGGTCACTAATCAACAAGAACCCGGAATTGACCTATCTGCATTATTCCACTAAAAAGAATCCCGTGATAATTAACTGTTCATCTTGTGAACTGTGGCGATGAGGAGGCCGGCCGGCCGGCCTCTGTTGGTGGCTTCACGAGACTTACGGCCAATCAATGACTGCAGAACAATTATCAACCAAGTTTTCTGTTCTCGTGAGAGCCTTGCCGCTGAGTTATATGGTATAGTATGGTCTCTATGCTGGAGGCCGACCTCGTTGGCAAACCTCAACGGCTATTGCCACTTCTGCCTGTTGCTTGTTGGTCCATTTGGTGAATGGACAAAAACTGGACCAACGGAGATAGGCCTCCAGACATGCAAGACGACAGACACTCTTGTTGACGGTATAAATAACATTTGCTTTTAGGGGGAAATTATTCTCACTTCTTCTCAAACTGTTGGTATCTAGTAGCGAATGTCCAGCCTCCAACATGTCCTCCGACGCTGACACTTCAAGCTCTAGCCCTAGCGAACATGCTACCTCTGGGCAAAATGAGCAGGCAAAGATGCAGCCAATCATGGAAGCCATTACTGAAGTTCCAGAGCACGAGAGAAGTGCTCAAGAGACTATCCGCGATTATCTCTTGGAGAACGTCGAGGAGTTTCGCCGTCTCTATGAGGTGAGAAGAAAGGTATGTCTGTAACAAAGATACTGAGCAAGGAGAATGGTCTAATGAGAAAGATAGGGCTGGGAGACAAGTCAAGGCGATGCTCATTTCAAGAAACAACGAGCAGTCGCAGATAAATGCAGCGCGAACAGTACACATTTCTTCTACACCATGATGAAGACGATCGCAATTGACCTCGACAAGGCAACGGGTGCTCTGAACATGCCCAAGGTCGAACAGCCGGCCTTGCTGGACATGTGCGTGGCTCCAGGTGGTTTTGTTGATGTGGCCTCGACCAAGACACCTGGTATTCACATCAGGGCCATGAGTTTACCCGTTGAGCAAGGTGGACACGATGTCAAGATGCTCGATGCACAAGTGGATCTGGAGTTTCGCGACATCACAACGCTGGTAGCCGATATGGGTATTACCAAGAACGATGTTCCGTTGAACTTTCCAGGACCATATGACTTCCTATTCGAAAAGGTCTTGGGCGATAATGAGACGTTTGATCTCGTCTTCTGCGATGGCCAAGTCCTGCGTACTCACCCCCGTGCGGGATGGCGAGAGCCCCGAGAAGCTACTCGTCTAACTCTCACGCAGATCGCCCTCGGTCTCGAACATCTGAAGAACGGTGGTACAATGGTTATCCTTATGCACAAGCTCGACAGCTGGCGAAGCTTCGATTTGATCCACCAATTCAGCAAAATGGCAACCGTCAAACTGTACAAGCACTACAGGCACCACAAGATCAGATCTTCATTTTATCTTGTCGCAAAGAATATCCAAGCTGAAAGTGCCTTTGCGAAGGAGATGGTTGCGCTGTGGAAGCGGATATACAAGATTGCGACGTTTGGTACTGATGAGGAGTACGCTGAGATGCACCGAGTCACTAGAGAGACTGCCCTGGAAGAGCTTGAGAAGTTTGGGGAGAAATATGTTGCAATGGGGAAGAAGATTTGGAAGACTCAGGCTGATGAATTGGAGAAAGCGCCCTTTTTGAAGAAGCGCACGAAGCAGCAGAGCAAGCGCAGGACATGGGAATGAGGTGGTGATGAGAGATGGGGGTATACGGGAGACATGTTTTATAAGACATCGATTCTCTGAGCCGTCATCGGAAGTGTCATAGAAGAGGTAACATGCTAGGACAAGTAGACCAGATGCTCTTGTTGCATTTCCGGCTCCATGTGCAAGCAAGGGTACCTAACAAGATTACCATAACAGTACGATCAGATAAGATAATCTCTTAAATGACAAAAGATCTCGGATCCTTAGGATAACCAGTAGCTGACTAGTCCTGCATGTCTAACATGAGAGGCAAGGATCAGCAAAGCGACTCCGAGTTCGCCCTCGTGTAGATTTCAACGCAATTATTTAAACACAGCTCTCACCTTCACGCATCTATTAAATAAGACATCATTTCTATTGCATAGGTAATTGAAATGGCCGAGTATAGACATTATGCAACGCCCCATCCCGAATGGGTCGATGTACGCTAAGTCATGTGCAAACTTCATGATATTGCTACTGATCCCATTAGTTCCCAAACAATCTCCCCCCAGGCACAAAACCAAGCTTGGGCATGACCAGAGACCATGATCCAATTATTCCACAGGAAGGACTCGATATTTACGAGATAAATGTCCCTGTGCGTGATAACACGTCTATCACACTGCGCATCTACCGTCAAACTGCTCACAACGATGCCCTCCCTCTATTCCTATACATGCACGGCGGTGGGTATGTCACGGGTGGCCTTGAAACAGACGACGTAACATGCAGAGCACTTGCGTCGGAAATTCCTGTCGTTGTTGCAAGTGTCGAGTATCGACTTGCTCCTGAGCACAAGTTCCCGGTTGGCTTTGAAGATAGCTTCGATGTCGTCCGATGGGTAAGATATAGCGCTGCCAAACTACCGCCAGCTAACATTCTGTCCAGGCTGCATCGCCAGAAGGCCAGAGCAAACTTAACACAGACTTATCCAAGGGCTTTATCCTCGGTGGCACATCGGCTGGTGCTAACTTCACTGCTGGAATCTCGCACTTGGCTCGTGATGAGGGCCTCACTCCCAGAATCACAGGCGTCGTGTTCCTCGCTGGGAGCTTCTGTCATCCAGATGTAAGACCGAAGAAATATCTGGATCGTATTCTGAGCGTGGACGAGATTGATGATGCACCTGGCCTCACGCGAAAGTCAATTGACTACTTCGCAGGTACAATACTCTCTGGCAATGCTTTTCACTCAATACTGATCATGCAACAGGACGATACGGTGCTCCCCCAACAGACAAGCGACTGTCCCCTCTTCTCTTTGATTCCCATGCCGGTATAGCAAAGAAAGCGTACTTTGCAATCTGCGGTTGGGATCCGCGTCGGGATGAAGCTATTCTTCTCGATCAACTGCTACAAGAAGTCGGGCTGCCAACCAAGTCACACATCTACTCAGGGCTACCTCATGGCTTCTGGACGACTTGTCCTGACTTGCCTGTTTCCAAGAAGTGGCTGCAGGATCTCCTTCAGGGTGTGCGCTGGTTGTTAGAGTAGAGGTAAGCCGAAAGTATAACAGGGACGACGGTGGGCAAAGGACGAAACACACTCAATTTGTTCCAAATCACTTAATCAGTACCATCATACACTCTGCCCTTCATTTACTTTCCAGTGTAGCCTTTCACAATTCCCAAATCAAGCCCAGTATGCTTTTCCACAATTTCCGAAACAAAGATCTTGATATCCTACATGTTCAACTTCTCCATTTCCTCAGAGAGAATACCCTCTTCCACAACCTTGACCTTGACCTTCATTCCCCAAGGCTCATCATCACCAATCCAGTTCTTCTTCTTTCCAATCTTTTCCACATCACTAGCTGCCTCCTTGACAGTCTCCTTCGTTCTTGCTGGGTCATCTTTTGTCTTCTGTACCGAGATTGTGAGCAGAAGACCTTCCTTATTCTTCTTCTTGCCCAAAGTGTACGACCACTGAGAGGTGAACACCACGCGGGGCTTCGACTTGTGGATCTTACCGGCTGGGTAGAGCGCGGTGATGAGTTGTCCGACCCTGCCGAGGTATGATGCCCACCAGACTTCCTCGGGTGTGAGCATTTCACGGAGTGACTCACGGAACTCGAGCTCACGAGGAGGAAGTTCACCACCATATCTGGACTCAAGCATCAAAGCCAACCTTGCTCGATCTTGGTGCGAAACACCGTGGATCGCAGACATGTTTCCGACACTGGTTGAGTACAGAGCCGTCGTTGAGGCCGTCTCCTTACTCATGAACATGTGCAGATACATCGCATTGGCGAAGGAGTCAACAACAGGCTCACCGAACTCCTCTGGGAACTCCTTCTTCTTAGAAGGTTTCGGGATTGCGTTCTTGAGCAATTGCTGAATGAGATGTCGCGAACCCGGAGCAAAGTAGCCTGTGGCAACCTCTAGGGGAGACTGAGCTCGAATAGATGGTGAAAGCTGACGGAAGAGGAAGCCTTCTCTGACACCGCCCTGACAAAAGTGTGCCTCTCTGATACCTCCAGGAATGGACTCTGAAAGAACATTGACAAGGAACGCGACCGCGGGAACTTGGGATCTTCGACGGTCCGAAACACGGAAAATGTCTTTCGCGGCATGAGCGACATGCTTGAGAGCCTCGGTGTCCTCAAACTGTTTGCGCTTGGCAGTGTATCCATTGATAATGGAGATGGGATAGTAGCTGCCATCCGTCTGATTCAGGTACAGGAGCAAATATCCCCATCCCCTGAAACCACCTCCGGAGAGATAAATTCGGTACCCGCCTTCCTTCTCAGCCTTCTCGGTCATCTCGGCGGGGATCTGCAGATTGTTGTATGCGTCCTTGAAGTTGGCGATCATTTCCTTCTCGAAAGCCTTGACGGCTGCATCGGCTTCGTCCTTTTTCTTACCGTCACGAAGATCGTGAAGCTTCTTGGTCAAAGCAGCCGCTCCATATGGGAAGCTGAAGCTGCCTTTGGGACTCATGCGAACCTGACCGCCCGAGCTGAGCATCCAGGTAATCTGGGTGCTGCCACCGCCAAGGTCCATCACCAGACCTTCCATGTTAGAGAAGCCACTGGCGATGCCGAGGGCACCGATCTGGCCCTCTTCTTCTTTGGGTAGGAGCTCGACTGTCAGACCAGTCTTGTCTTTGATAGCAGCCAAGAACTGCTTCGAGTTGAGTGCAGCACGGGTGGCTTCGGTCGCGATAACATGGATATTCTCCTTCTTACACCGGAAGTCGCCGCAAATAACAACGAATCGACTCAAGACTGAAACGACAGACTCGATGATATCGTCGGGAATGGGAATCTGGTCTCCAGTCTCGGGATCATATTGAGAGTCGTACAGAGAAATGGAGGCGCGATACTGGTAAACGGTAGGAAGCATACGAGCCAATGGGTTCGAAAGGTCGGAAATCGAGAGACGAATTCCATTGCTGGTGATGGCATCACTCGTCAGTTTCTTTGTTACAGTGGATGGATTGTCTCTATATTCTCACCTGCCCATGTCAACAACACCGACTAGCTTACCCTCATGGCCCTGCCATGGGGGATGCCCGCCCTGAAGATGCGCGTACGGCGGCTGGGCATCCTCATCGTCGCTGCTCTCATGGCCAAACTCGGCGATTGGGTCGATGACTTCAAAGTCGGAGAAATCCATCACGAGGTGTCTTTGTTTTGGAGGTGAAGATGCCCGTTTGTCGTTGATGACGTTGGCAGCCCGGGCGAAATGCAGAGCTCCCCAGTATTTAAGGTGGTCGGGGGCCTCTATTTCAGGGAGCTTCCCGTCATCAGAAGGGAAGCTAACGCCCTGCGGCGGGTTTCAGCTCTGATGGGATTGCCCTGACGTACGCCAACCTTAAATGAGCTTGTCCGGAAATCGAGCCAGTTACGGTTGAGCAGCGACGCCAATGGCAGCACAAGCTACGTGATTGAATCAAGTCATTGGCTGGGGTAGAGATAAGCACGAGATCGGAGACCTTATCTTGACGGATTGGGATCTTGACCGTTGTTCAATCAACGACTCTACAAACGGTGAGGCAACAAGGTTAATACTGGCAGGCACAGAATTAAGCCTCAAGTCGACAATTTACTTCAATTGCTAAGTACGAACAAGATCAATTGCTGAAAAGAAGTACTACGATCTGCACCAGACCCAGTTATAAGCTATAATCTCCATCCTAGAGTGACGAAATATTTAAGTAAGTTTATCCTACACTTAAGAGTTTCTTTAACACTAGAATATCGTAATTTCCTGTTCTTTTATTCCCCAACGAAATTTACAATGCAATGGACCTTTCAGAGTATTCAGCTGTTCTGTCAAAAGTATTGTCTCATGAATGTTGTCGGAGGCACTGAGATGCTTCAACAACCTATCTGCTTTACGTTTGCCCACATCGGCAGAAATGCCTTCCTGTCTCTGCTTGTTTTCTCTTTATGATAAAAAATTGCCTCTTTTTAATAATTGATACAAGGGGTGGTCCGGGTTAATATTGAGCAAGCATCATGCAAGGCCACTCGATTTGACTGTGATTCACTGTCCTCCGGTGCTAAGCAGTATGTATGTAAGTATGAACATGCTCGGATTTCATTGTATGCTCTTTTTCTCTTTCATCCCCTCATATCGTTTACTCCTTATTCAACTCAGCTGGGTCTGGCGGCAAAAGGGAGTACAGCCTGCCAACTATTCGCGCTATCTGTGAAAGGGCAGGATCTGAATCGACTTCCAAGACCAACCCATATCTCTTCACTGACTTCATGGAGGGAGGTGAAGGCGTCATTGAACCTCGTGAAGAATCTAGTATGACGACACAACCTGTCGACGACGTGGGAAATTCTACACAGGACCCTGGAGATGGAAACAATGATCACGTTGATCCGACCGCCAACAGCGATGAAGGGGACAGTGAAGATCAAGATGATGGAGATTTCGATGAAGAAGGCATCGTCGCACACCTCAATACCTTCACGGCATGACTGTAAGTTCATCTCATGGCGCCAAGATTAACTTGGTGACTAATTGTGAGCTCGCAATAGATCTCCAAACACGACGCGACGCGTGCAGGCCGTATACCCGGCCTCAGGTATGGTGACACTCTTCGAACACCAGAAGCATGCTGTGGGAGCCGCCATGCGGTCGCTTGATGACTCCCTCAAGGGCATGATATTGAGAAACCCTCCAGGGCTTGGCAAAACCCTGGTAGCTTTTGCCGTGGCTTCTTTATCCTGGGAGCCTGGAGATGGGCCTTCACTTATCGTTGCACCTCTCTCATGCTGTAGCAAGTGGATGGCCGAGATTGATGCTTTCTTTGATGCGGTAAGACTGGCCGCAAGGCAGACAAATATCAGGGAAGGGTATCGGTCATCGTGATGAAAGACGCGAGGTATGGCTACCGTTTGGCTTTTAGAGAATTCTTTTGCGCCTTCAGCCTGTGGTGGTACCAGGTCGCGATCGCTTCCTGTTCATATCTTATTGAGGAGGTGGACTGTGTCGCAAGGCTCCAGGATGCCATCAAAGATTAAAATGCAGAGCTGGCCGTTCTCTTCACAAAGAGATCGAGGCTAGTCCTCCGTTCTGGCAGCCTGGAGTCCGAGCCATGGAAGCCGATCGGAAAATGCATTATTCTCGACGATGGCCATACCATCAAGAATCGCAACACCCGCACATTTGCTGCCGTCAATACACTCCGTGGGCAATTCGAAGGGTGTCTAGCCTTGACAGGAACACCTCTAGACAACACATGGGAGTACGGTTATGCCCTGCCGAGTCTGCCAGAAGGGCATCCATCACCGACTTAAAGTATTGCAGAGAACATTCAAAGAACTTAATAAAATGGCCCCTCAGCATCGTACGGGGAAATACATGACCCGACACATCCAGATGCTCGACGCTGCCAGCTTCTCAAACCCAATATCAACTATTCAAGATCGCCTTCCGCCTAGGACTGACACTGGCGACACTTTGCTCTCGACTCGAGTGACAGACACAAGTCCAATAAATTATCATGGAACACGGACGACTCATATTGTGAAGAGAAAATCATGAAGCAAGATGGCGCGTGGCAAAGGCCCTCGACGCAACAAGGCGATGCTGCAGGTTGGCCGTACCTCATCGAGGCTTAGCAGCATGCCTACCATCCGATGCTAGTGTAGCTAAAGCTGGCCCACAGAGGTCTTATAGAATCTATGAGACAGGAAGACGTGGATGATGCCATTCCCGACGAAATGGACGACCAAGCTCTCGAGCCGGTTGCCGAGTGGCGTCGGCAGCTGGAGCAAGGAGACAACTCTTTGTCACGACGTGTTGAGGCGATACTCGATACAATGCAACAGCATCTTGATCTTGGCCCCCACGAATCATTCATCATTGTCGATGAAAGCGTGTGGTTTTTGGATATCGTGGTGATTGCGCTCAAGAAGACCTATCATTCGGTCACCCACGATACATATAAAGGGCGACTCGACACAGTCCAGCGCCACTTAACCATCAAGAAGGTTGCCCAATCTATGCCCCCGCATTCCATACTAGCTAGTCGAGGTACTGGTGGTTAGGGACTTAGCATGCAATTCGCAATGGTTGTTATTCGATGCGGACCCTAGTGGAAGAAAGCGTGGGAGGAGCAAGCAACTGGACGAGTTCACCGACCAGGACAACAGAAACCTACTTTTATCTACGAACTCAGAGCCTAGGACTGCTGTGGAAAGTTACAAGTCTGAGATCCGAGACAAGAAGAACATAATCAACACTCACATCTTGTCTGCTATCGCTTAAAAATGCGATGACGAGCCTCACAAACAAGGCATTAGACTTCTTGGATTGGAGCTTGTAGGACCGAGGGTCTGGGCGAGCCATAGATCTCATAAGAAGCATTTGATGCTGCCGATATGCTATGACTGTGCGAGAGAAAGGATGACATTGATCAAGCTTTAGTGTATTTTATCCTAAGGAAGGCCTAAATTATGACAACTTTCTCAAATTTTGGAAGATTTCATCTCACATTATGATCCTAGTTTGACCATGGTCGTCTTTATACAGAAGTGTATTTGGGACATAATCGCCCGTAGTCTTCTGTTCGAATTTTCGTGAGACAATGCTTCGTCGTCAGGCTTGCGAGTTCTTTTATTTCCTTTACCATGTAGCTTATACTATACCTTTACTTAACTGTCATGAACTCAAAAGAATGAGAGAGAAAGCGACCTGCGCCATGTAGTCCTTCTATCGTCCAGGTAACCCAAGCATAGACAAGCAATGCTTCTCTGCCCAGTCAAACATCCGATCCCGGAAACCCTTGCGCTTTTCCACAATAGGTGATGCTTCAGCATAAGGATCCTCCTCCACAGCTTGAGCGATCCTCTTCGTCGTACCAGGAAGAACAACTTTTTGCAGCTCCAGATCCCAGAGCACTCTTACAACCCATCTTTGACTAAACCTACCTGGAGTTTTATTCGCCGAAGCGTTCACCTTTCGTTTATGTCGCGCTGAGATCTCAGCGACGTAATAAAAGTATTCGGTGTCCCAGCTTCTTAGCTCTCCACTCTCAATCACAAGTTCCCAAGGTCTGCGATTCGTAGGACCACCCAAGGAATGGTAACATGTTGCGTACTCGGCGTCATCATCCGTGAGCATCAGAATCCAGTGGTTTGGGTGGCCTTCCACAGGATCTGTGCAAACTCCGATAGTCAGTTGTAGAAAGTCTTCGGAAGAGGATCCCAGACATCCAGGGAATCTTCGGAAGGGCATTTCCTGGGTTGTGTAATGGGGAGGGTGATGAGGCTCGGTCGACGAGTGTATGGTTGTAGGTGATGAGGCGACCGGATGAGACTGGCCTAAGGATGACAAGAGACAGAATTTCAGTGAATGAGGGTTCGCTTTAAATATTTCATGCAGCTGTTGGACAAATTCTTTCTATCTTGAACAATGATAATGCATCATCGAACACTCGACATCACTGAACAGGTGAGGAGGCTGTCTAGCCTTTTTCATTGTCCCTGCACTCATGCTGAATCTGAACACGCATTGAATACTTACCAAAGGCTTGTCTTCCATTTCTATACAATTGGTTGTGCATTATTGCCTTTCAGCGAACGTGGAGGCCCTTTCTAGGGCCTGGACATGTAGTGGCGATGTCCTCGAAATACAGCATTTTAGATACAGTGCCCATTAGCTCGGAGTATATGTCTTTAGCGACTGATCACTGTACTTCCTTTACCCTTTTTTATCGTTCAGATAACCCAGATGACTTGAGAGGTGGTCTAATGAAACTTCATTCAACATCGCCAGATTGTGTCTGCGATTTAGCCTCACGAGAATTACTTGACAGCAATATTGTGTTACACAAACTCACCAGTCAGATCAGTTACATGAACAGACACCAAGTAGTCTTCATTCTGCAATGATAAGCTATTTTCTTTGACTTGATGATGTTATTCCCGACTAAGACCTCGTGCTCGATAAAGGGCGTCTTGACAATCCACTAGTTTTCTCTTTTCTTTAGACAGAGTGGGCACAAACTCAACCTCAATCTCAACCACAACCACCAACATAAAAATGCCGTCCAAAATTCTCATTCTTGACGGTGGCCTCGGCACCTCTCTCGAGTCCAAGTACTCTGTCACTTTCTCCCGTTCAACGCCGCTCTGGTCCTCTCATCTGCTTGTTTCTGACCAATCCACTCTCCAAGCCTGTCAGAGCGATTTCGGAGCTGTCCCAGTTGACGTGCTCCTCACAGCGACGTATCAAGTTTCGCTCCATGGGTTCGCCGACACTCGCACTGAGGATTTCCCCGAGGGTATCCCTCGTGAAACTGTTCCTCGGTTCTTGGATGATGCTGTTATTATTGCTCAGCGTGCTGTGGGGGACAAGGGCCGTGTTGCTTTGAGCATTGGACCTTACGGAGCTTGCATGATTCCAGGTCAGGAGTACAGTGGGAAATACGATGCTGAGCACAACTCCTTGGCTGATTTGGAGGCATGGCACCGTGAGCGATTGGGCGTCTTCGCTGAGGTCTCTGATATACAGAAGCGAGTAGGCTATGTTGCCCTCGAGACTATTCCCCGCGTTGACGAGATCATTGCCATGCGCAAAGCTCTTGCTGCGACACCAACACTGTCTGATCTCCCTTACTGGACGGCATGTCTCTCCCCTGACAAAGACTTCAAAATGCCAGATGGCAACTCCATCGAAGCCGCCGTGGAGGCTATGCTGGATCCCGAGGTCTCATCCAAGTTGCCGTGGGGTATCGGTATCAACTGCACCAAGGTCGACAAGCTTGACCAACTCCTTCAAATCTTTGAGCGCACTGTCTCAGGCCTGATTGAGAGCGGCAAGATTACTGAGTGGCCTGCTCTGGTGCTGTATCCTGACGGAACAAATGGAGAGGTTTACAACACAACAACACAAAAATGGGAGATGCCAGACGGCATTGAGACTCATTGGCGCTCATCTTGGGAACGCCAACTCGAGATAGTCGTAAAGGCTACGGAGGATAGAGGGAAATGGCCCGCCATCTTGGTCGGTGGATGCTGTAGGGCTGGGAGCGAAGATATCAAGAAACTTCGCGATTGTCTCGTGAAATAGAGGCTTCCATCAATGCCAAAATCACAACGGTATAAAACAAGATTAAGATGCATTACATGTCTAACAAAATAAGATATGAAAGACGTCAAATCACCCCAAAGAAGCTACGTCAGGCAAGAAAAGTCAGAATTTCTATCCTGAGTGATAGAAAGATCTAGGTAAAACTTAAGCAAACTTAATATAGACTTAGGATGCCTTCAAAATAGATATTTCAGAGCCCTTAAGAACAGGCCATGACTATCAGAGCATTAAGCTACTTGAGTTGCTTATGAACGTGGCAGACACTTAGACGTGACCTGGTAGGGGCAAACGAATACAGACAGCACAGTTTTGCATTTTCGTCTGAACCTTTCTATTCACTGCATTAACTTACCCATTGATCTCTTCCTCCGGCTGCTATTTCTTCTTCAGGTTTTTAACCCTTTCGTTAAGCTGGGGCTTTGCTCTCTTCACACGGCCACTTCACGCAGTGAGAAACATAGCACTTGGTAAAGCTAGTCTTCTCTAATTGTATGAAGACTCTTTTTCTTTTTATTCCTTCTTAGTACCTGATATATATCACAGACGTATAGGCCTGTCATTTTACAGAGAGGAGAAGGCATGAACCCTAACCTCTGCACCTGAAAAGCATTAAATCGGTGAACGTGGATCTCCATCACAGCGTAAGTGCTGTCGACTATCTTGCCATGAGACTTCTCTAATATCATAATTTAGCCGCCTCGTAAGAGATCCAAGTCCTTCCACTTGACTTCTCAGGACACTGCCCAGTTCGCCCATCCAGTGCATATGGAAACTATCCCAATGGATATCGATCGTCCAGGACATGCAACTCAAGATTCTACCACTGTGTTGTCTTCTGCTGTCGCTACTGCAGCAAACTCTGATATTTTGCATCACGGAGAGAACATCCTCTTGCCCGAGGAACGAAGGGTCGAAGTCTATACTCGCTCGATCAAGCTGTCTCCAAAGACCAAAGACGCTGCCACAAATGACTTATTCCCTTACCGCATGCCATTCTTTTACAATGAAAATCTCCATCGCTATGTAATGGGATTGGAGGAGGGCACAAATCAACCCGCCTTTGCTCGAACTGCTTCGAAAACGCTGTTTGTGTTCTATTGCAACGAGTGTGTTTTTGAACTATCAATTTATTGCGCCACGTTCTTCTCCCTCAACAAATCACAGATGGCCCAAATTCAAGCAAGAGCTGTTATGCTCTTGACAAAAGAGAGTTATATAAGATCAAGTGCACTCAACACCTGGGAGATGATTGATTATGCTCACGGTGCCACCACCAAAGTGGAATTCCATTTTTACTTCTAGGTGAAGGACCTGGTTGCACTCGCGGACAATATGAAACTTGAGATTCATATGCATCTTCCCTGGAGAGACTTCATCTCGCTTGCCGAAGCAACGGCTCCTTTGCGAGATGCTAGCTTCGAACTGTCGGTTACTTTTGACGAGGAGGAGTGGTCGGACATACCTTCGCAGTATCGAGACTTTCACAAGGCACTGGCAGTCAAGGCTATCACTGGGGCTGAGCTGGATGCCGCCAATCTTCAGTTCCAATAAGACATGCCAGAGTATATTGAGAATCAGTTGACTGCTCACGGTACCCGTGGGTTTCGTCCGAACAAAAGACGATGGTATTCTTACCTTGCCAATATATCCTAAGGATATCTTGAGATATCCTTAGGCTATGATAAGTCTATCTCCAGGATGTGGGCTTGCAACCAAGGGAACAAACTGAGCAGTATAGCGTGCTTTACATGCGAGTCTAATAGATCAGTTGCAGGCAAATCTCAGCCGCCGTTTCAGGTGCAATGAGAAAGCTACTTCAGTTAACTCCGTGCTAAGATGCTATTCATATATCAGAATCTCTGTGTGACTTGTTTGTATCCAACCTCAACTACCCAAGCTTCGATCACGGCCAGTATCCCAACTTACTAATATCAGCACTTAACTCTCTTCCCTGCATCATCTCAGCCATAACTTTCGCCGTTCCCAACGACAAACTGATCCCCCATGGCCCATGCCCTGTCGCTACATAGACGCCACCATCACATCCTTTCCGTGTCCTGTAGCCTTGTCGTAGATCCACATCCTCTATACGTGTGATATAGGGTGTTCCTCGTTCTGACACAGGTCTGAAGCATAACCCAGTCCGTATTACCTCCAGCTCGTCACCATCAGATCTGATAATCTGCCTCGCCAGGTTCTTCAACTTCTCAAGTGGCGCATCCATGGGTTTCGCCCCTGTTGCTAGTGGTGGTAGCCGCAAAGATGCGTTCACGCCACCGAGCCAGATATGTCCATTTGGTCGAGCATAAATCTCTGGTGAGAAGTCATCCATGGTTGTATATATAGAGTGGTACGTATCGCCGATATCTGCGGGATTTCGTACAACAAGTGAGTGTCCTGCGAGCGGTACAACGGGTATGTTGATAGATGATCCGGGAAACATGGACTCCAAAACACTTGGGGCCCATGCCCCAGTACATACAAGTATTCGCGTTGCTGGTATATGTGTCTCTGAGGAGCAGTCTGTGTAACCAATACGGACATATGATAGCTCATCATGGCAATCGGCGCCCACGCTTAGAACAACGGCAGGGTTATGGATCCGTACACCCGCGGCTCGACATCTCTCCAGGAGAAACTGACATAGTTTTAGGGGGTCTCTACAAATATAGTTTGTCAGAATATATCGTTCTCATAAGACAGTGACTTACAGGACAGCTGTCCCTTCACCATTATCAACCAAGCTGAGAGCATCACCCTTGATACGTCTCAACCAAGGCGGGCTATTCCTGTCTTTAACCTCCCCTCTCTCTTCTACTACATCCGCACGACTCCCTCCATCACGTAGCCAATCCTGACCAGTCGAATCCTTGGGTTTCCTTCTCGGTAGCTCATAGTTCACAGTCACTGACTTGGCATACAACCATTTCTCCCTCCCATTAAACTCCTTTGCCAATTTCTCATGCTCATCAAAACTCAGTGCTCCGAGAGACGCAATATCTTGATGGAACCAGTCCCTCGCGAGAAATCCACCAGCGTAGCCAGATGCCGAGGCAAATAGCGTTGCTGATGAGTCAACAAGGTGGATGCTTGAACCCGGTTGATGTTCTGAGAGATAATAAGCTGTCGCGATGCCAATTATGCCACCTCCAACAATCACCGTCGAGGCCATTGGGATCAAGTATTAGGATTAGAAATCTAATGTATAATTGAGAAAACGGAACAAGTCTCAGCTGATGCAGGCGGGCTATTACCAAGAAAGAACCGATGACGTGAGTGACGATGATACAGGGTAAACAAGATTGAAGCTCCAGAATTGACCCCACCATCATCACCACCAAGAAACCCCCCACTCTCTTGAGCTTCAAAAAGGTGACAAGTTACAGATACTCACCGAACATCAACAGTATCGGTCACACAGCAGATTTCTCAACATGAGCTCCAAAGTCTTCATTATCACTGGTGCCAGTAAGGGCATTGGCGCTGCCATTACCCGTTACCTGCTTGACCAATCCCACAAGGTTGTTATTACAGCTCGATCATCCGAACCATTGGAGGGGTTAAAGAAATCGCACCCGGAACAGGTCCAATTCATTGCTGGAGACATTGTCGAACCTAAGGTGTGTACCTAACCTAAATACAAGCTCAGGAGTTACGAGGCTGATGTTTGCTGTCTAGCTGCCTTCGAAGCTAGTTGACCTTGCTGTATCCTCGTTCGGTAAAATTGATGGTCTGGTTATCAATCATGGCATGTTGGCGCCTAAGAAATTTGCAGACACCACGGTCGAAGAGTGGAAGAAGATTTATGACATCAACGTCTTCAGCGGTATTGCCTTGGTAAGGAGATCTTGACCAGGCCTCTTACGAGCATGGACAATACTGACAACCCCAGGCCCAAGCTGCGATCAAAGAGCTACGCAAGTCCAAAGGCTGCATTGTCTGGGTGTCATCAGGAGCAGCAGCCAAGCAATATGCCGCGTGGTCAAGTTACGGTTCATCAAAGGCCGTCTACAATTCTGTCTCAGCTCACATTGCGCTTGAGGAGCCTGACATAACAAGTGTTGCCATTGCACCAGGTCGAGTTGACACTGAGATGCAAGGTGTACTGAGGTCGGAAGGCCAATCATCTATGAACAAGGCACAATACGATTCCTTCGTTGAAGCTAAAGAAAAGGGCATCTTGCTAAAGCCAGAGCAGCCAGGAAATGTTATGGCTAAATTTGTCGCAGACCCGCTCAAAGAGCTGAGCGGCAAATTCTTCTCGTACGTCTCACAACATATTATGACATCAAAGACTAACAATCATGCAGATGGAACTCACCAGAGGTCGAGGCATACCAAGAATAGGATTTAGCTTAGGGATGTTGGAAGAATCTGGATATCTCAAGCAGCGTTAGCTTTGATGTCTTTGCATATGGTTCAAGTAGATAAAAGATAGAAAGACAAATGCAAGTCAGTCGAAAGATGAAAAGCTCTTAGTTTGCTCCACATGGACATTCGGATTTAGCATGGAATGTAAGTTTCTTCATCATAGCATTTGATGTTGGTAGTAGAAAGAAATAAAAGTTTGTTCTTACCTGGTGCTGATTTGTCGCATGCAACCGAGTTCAAAGACGTGATGCTCGAAGCAGCTGCCTTGTCGCATGTTAGTTCCACGTTCCAACATGTTGTACAAAGCAAGCGTGCAGTCGAATGCGCTCAGGCTATCGTTTTTATCCGTCATGAGAGTCGGTATTTGATAGTACCAGATAGCAAAGTGCATCACGGCGTATCGAAGGGGTGTAAAGATGCTGAAGGGAGTCTTACAGCATGGGTCAGAGAGTGCAGCCTAACTTTGAGTTGATTAGCCTATGGTCCGGTAGCGTGGTTCAAGCTTTGAAACAAAGATGATTGGGATCAATCAGTTCTGTCCATTTGGCACAGGACGAAGTCAATCAGCACAGGAGGCTTGTCGAACCTCCTCAGCCTGGGGCGACAAC